TATAAGTAAGCAATTTCATGACTTCATCATTTAGTACCAGAATCTGGATAATAAACTTAATTGAGTTATTCAATTCTCCGCTTCTGGGTTTCTTATGCCAGGGAAAGAACATTATATTATTTAGCAGGTTTTTTAGTGTAAGAAAAAAATAAACTATACATGGATTTCAAGATATTTTATTTTAGAACCAAACTAAACTTGCACATTTATTCTGTTTTTGTGCAAATGTTTTCAAGTCCCCTCATAGAGTCATTTAGTAAGTTGGCCCAATCTCCATCATCAAACATAAAATACCAGCATTTATGTGAGATAAGAATTAATTTTCTGTATTTTAAGAATGACAAAAGCAAAACAAAAAAATTTACTTGGGTGTGAGAGTAGTGAAGGTATGAACATTGCCTTTGTGGTAACAAAACATTAAGCATCTAAAACGGAAGTGTTGACTACATGAATTGCTGTAAGATATAACAGCATTAAATGCATTATTTTTGTCTTAATGTTTTGCCTTCAGTAGGTACCTTTGAAGTATTTTTTATACAATTAAGATGTTTTAAAGAGATTATCCTAAACTTTCTTTAGTTTAAATAATTTGTTGAAACTTTATTGTGAAATAAGAAAGTAATGAAGGAAAATTAATTTGTTACTAATTTCAAAGTGTGTGAATATTTTAAAATTTACTAATGTACGGGACCAGCAGTTAGCATAATGGCTATGTCGCTGGATTCCCATGAAGTTGATCACGGTTTGCGTCCCGGACCCGGTGACTTAAAACTCACACCGGGTGTGTGTGCGTGCATGCCCAAGATCCCGTGAGGAGAATGGAGGAGAAGGGATTGTGGCGTGGCCATCCCCCCTGGGGGGGTGATTTCTTGCTTTCTGTCTCTCTGTCTCTGTCTGTCTGGTGAGCGCACGCGCCCTATAGTAAAAACTTCTCCAATAAATAAATAAATAAATAAATAAATAAATAAATAAAGTAAATAAATAAATAAAAAAGAAGAAAAGTTACTAATGTACACAACTGCAGCTTATTTTCTTGGGGAAAATCACCATCTAAGTTCAGAAAATTCTGAGGTCAGATGAAAGATGTGAATCAATTAAAATTGTTTTTCTACAATAAAATAGGTGTAAAATAATATATTTCATTTCACATATCTATTTACCTTTCTATATAATTTTTAAATGGAGAGCATAAACAAATGCAGTTATAGATGAGCTTACAAGAGTCAACTGCAAATATAAAATGTTTTAAATTGAAATCCAAGCAAACCTTGATTTTATTATAAATGACATCTAAATTAGCTATGAATTTAGCCAAGTTTATGCATGACATATTGAACTTGGATTTTGAAATGATGAAATAGAGATTAGATGGTAAAAAATAAGTTTAAAAAGATGAACGTTAAGAAGAAAAGTTACTAATATATACAACTGCAGCTTATTTTCTTGGGGAAAATCACCATCTAAGTTCAGAAAATTCTGAGGTCAGATGAAAGATGTGAATCAATTAAAATTGTTTTTCTACAATAAAATAGGTGTAAAATAATATATTTCATTTCACATATCTATTTACCTTTCTATATAATTTTTAAATGGAGAGCATAAACAAATGCAGTTATAGATGAGCTTACAAGAGTCAACTGCAAATATAAAATGTTTTAAATTGAAATCCAAGCAAACCTTGATTTTATTATAAATGACATCTAAATTAGCTATGAATTTAGCCAAGTTTATGCATGACATATTGAACTTGGATTTTGAAATGATGAAATAGAGATTAGATGGTAAAAAATAAGTTTAAAAAGATGAACGTTGTAGGTGAAATATGATGAAATGTACAAATGACTTAGAGAGAAATGAGAAATCAACGGAATAATTTATTTCAAAATCTATATATTTATTTTTAGCATAATGTATTAGATTCTTTTATTGCCAACTCATAATTGTAGAGTGATATAAGATGCTATAATAGACAACATATGTAAAAAGCAGCATTTCTATTTTAGTTAACTTTGAGATGGAAGTCACCACAATGCATGTGAATTAAATAGAGATTGTATAACTTAATTGAATATTACTGTTCTGAATATATTTCAGAAGGCAAACAGCTGAAGGGAATAGCCATGTCTAACATAAACTCTAAATATTTGCATGCACAGAATAATTAAGATCTTAACAATTTTTGATTTGCTTAATAGGATGAATTTTCAACTCCTCATATCAGAGTCATTCAAACAGAATTTTGTTTGAATGTCAGTTACTGAGGAACTGCTTCTCCTCAGGTCTGTATCAAAGAGATTTGTAGTATATATTTAATCTGTTGAAAGGGTATCTTATTCCAGAATATAGCATAAACTGACTTATAATGGAAAGAGTATTAAATAATTTAGTGTACGTAGATGCCACATTGCTTTCAACTGTGAAGCCTCATCCCTTCAACCAAAATAACGTACACGTATATTTGTTTTTGTCCTAAGACTACAGAGCTGATAAAATGTACAGAGCTGAAAAATTCATTAGTTGGTTTATCCTGAGAAGTTATCTTGAGTTATTTTCAAAGTAAGGCAGCATATAAATACACAAGTAAATAAAATAAGTTTGCATACAGATAGTCAAAATGCAGTCAACGATATCTTCATTTTTATAAAGGTTACCATCATGCCTATCAAAGATAACATTAGTCATAATTAAATTAAAAAGAAATAGTCCATTCCTAATTCATTCACACATATAAATACTACTTCACTAATGATAATGACTAAAATGACAGTGGGAGTAGAATACTGCACGTATGTGTTTTCTCTCAGCAAAGCATTGCATCATCGCATTGCAACGTGGAAGAAGCTACATGAAACGCGTTAAAGCAATCCCATTTCATCCACATCACTCAATAAATAACATATGTTCAGAAATAGTCTGGCACATCCTTAAAGCCTCCGGGACTAAAGTACCGATATACATGAGAAGAGCAACTTCTAGCCAAAATACTTTCACATCATGCATATGCCCAGACATACACAGCATTGGAGATAGCAACCAAGACATGGCGCAGCGGGTAATCAGCACACAGCAGGCTATGGCAGTGTGAGGTGGGGAAATTTGGATAGGAGAGCAAACTTGTAATTTTTCCAAATAGACAAAGGAGTCTCAGCACCTCAACAGAAGAAAAAGTAAAGTATAAAAGAGTATATACAATGCCTAAGCCAATGCTAAACCAAGTTAAAAGTTCCCCAGGAATCATATTTGCATTAATGTAAGGTCCCCTATTGTGACCAATTTTCTCTAATGAGGCTATTTTATTTACTCTTCCTAGTCTGCCGAATTAGAATGCTGAGGAAAATTCACGTTAAACCATTAGTCATGAAAATAAGGGGCAAAGGGTTAACATTTAGGCTTGTTTTGATTATGATGATTTAAAGATTTAGATTGCTCTGGCTGTTTCTAAAAATAAAATACATGGGTTTTTTTAAAGGATGAATTCTGACAGTCCAGAGGGTTGTTAGTTTGAAGGAAATAGTTCTTAAAAAGGCAAAAGAAACACCCTCATTTGTCCACATACTTAAAATATTTAAAAAATAAATGGGATGAATATATTTCTAATACATATATTTCTTACCACATTGTTTCTCTTCTAAAAGTAAGAATTCATGTCTGCGAGGTCAGCCTGATTTTTCATCACAGTTTTTCATAAAGCTAGATTTAACTACATATGTATCTTTCATTCCACAGTTTCTACAAACATTAATATTTAGTTACTACAAATATTACATAATTAGCCTTTCAAAGACTGATGTATATATATATATGTATATATATATATATGTTTGTGTGTAGATATATATCTACTATGTGGTCTAATGTATGTATATATACAAATATAAATATATATTTCAAACATTATATCTGCTTATTCAAATTCCATGTAAGTAAAAATTTACTGTTAAGATAATCAAATAGGGGCAAATGGATTAAGTGAAATTATTTTCAGGGCTGAAAAATAACAAGGGGTAAGTGGGATTCTGGGAAATAGCATGCACATTTAGTAGTGAAGGAAAATACCACATTAGAGTGATTTTTTACTATAAAAATTAGAGTGATTATATATTATAAAAGAACTTACTAAATACTTTAATACTACATCTAGATAATTTACTATGAAGTTGAGATTACTGCATATTCATTTGAAATTATGTTTCCTTCAGGGATTCTTAACTGGGGTGTACAATAGGATCATTTGAAGAACTACTTTTAATACATTTTGCCCCAGAAATTTTATTTTAGCAGATTTGATTATTTGTATGTGATTTCCTAATCTAAATTCTTGGCTTTGGTAGATTTATGTTTAATTATTACATGCTATATAATAAGTTAAATCACCTAACAAACCAGTATTATTTAGGTCCAATTTGATTGCCTTTCTAAAGAGTTGATTATTATACTTAGACATATATCCATATAATCACCCTTTATTTAAAAATTTCAAAAGCCACCACTATCAAAGCTGGTTTTTTAATAAATAATCCCATTGTTCTTAAACATTAAGAATGGATTAGAAAGGTACATACACTACATAGAGCATTTTTTTCCTGCCTTATTTTGTGATCTCTTGTGCAGATGCTTTTAGAATTTGTATAAATTAAACTTTCCACTTATTTTGGAATTAATTTTGTCCAAGCACGTGATTGTTTCTCCTATGAAGATTATTACAAAGTTTATATCACAATTTTCTAAAACATATGCATAAAATAATTTTGACCAATCAAATAGCTCCATTAATAAATGAAGGGTAACATTTAAATATGGTCTTATTGGGTAAAGAAGGCAAGGACAGAGTTCTTAGAAAAAGAGCAAATCCTTTTTTGCTAAAGGGGGATGGTGTTTGTTTTGTTTTAAATATGGAAGGACCACGTTTCCCCACCAAACACTGTCTTGGAGCAGAATATGCTGTCTGCCTTTTACTGGTGACCACATTCCTCTATTTAGAGTTAAGAAAGTCAATTTACCGTGTCTGAGAAACGGTAAAACTTCTCCAATGCAAAAGCTTCTGTCTGTGGGAAGGTAAAGTGGACCAAGAGGGATTGAGAAACCAGAGAATCAAATCACATATGATTAAATAGAATTACACAATTGATTTTAATCATATATACTATTTAACATACATATGTATCAATGAATAGATTTTCACATATGCAAGAAAAATACTCAAAAGAATCAATTGAACTTAAGGGTAACTGACTTTTTTTCTCTATTACATCTTAATTACATTTTTTTACATTTCCTTCTTGAATATTTCAAGTTGTGATTAGAAAATAATAAAACGATACTACTATTTTTGCATTTCTACATTTTTCCCATGTGCCAACAACTGGAAAAATTAATTCCACCTTTCTATGATCTAAAGACTAAGGGGCATCAAATATTTTTTTCTTTTTTAGAGAGGTATTTATGCTATAGGACATGTTTACTAGCTGGAGAGACAGAGACAGAGAGACAGAAAGCAAGAAATCACACCCCCCCCAGGAGGGATGGCCATGCTGCAATCCCTTCTCCTCCATTCTCCTCTCAGGATTTTGGGTAGGCAAGCACATGTGCCCAACATGAGTTTTTAAGCCACAGGGTCCAGGACTCAAATTGCAGTTGACTACATGCGAGTCGAGCAATGTAATGATTACACAATCCACTAGTCCCCTCAAATATTTTTTCTTAATCTTACGTGTAGTAAAACTGAATATAGAGATACTTTAGTAAGAATGTATATATGTTTTTAGAAGTTTTTGCCTTAGGACGTGTGCATTCCCTAGAGAGAGAGAGATGGTGAGAGGGAAAGTGAGAAATCACCCCCTCACGGGAGATGGTCACACTGCAATCCCTTCTCCATTCTCCTACTGGGATCCTGGGCATGCATGATACACACCAGGCATGAGTTTCAAACCCCTGGGTCTGGGACCAAACTGCGGTAGACTACATGGGAAACCAGTGATATAACTGCTACACCATCTGCTGGCCCCAGCAAAAATACTTCTTTTAAAGGAGGAACCAGAGTTGAACATCTAGACTTGTAGACTCTTACTTTTTTCTTTCTTTCTTTCTTTCTTTCCTTCTTTCTTTCTTTCTTTCTTTCTTTCTTTCTTTCTTTCTTTCTTTCTTTCTTTCTTTCTTTCTTTCTTTCTTTCTTTCTTTCTTTCTT